GGCCCGTGCATCTATGAATGCCTACATTCCAAAGTCAGGCGTTTGAAGTACGAGCCACAGAGACCCCACCAGCGTCACTGTCACCACCATCAACTCTTACAACGCCAGCACCCAGTGCGCACTGGGCTTCCTCCAGGTGCCAAGAACTGAGCTGATTGCTCTGCACACACTACTGCCCATCAGTTCATAATTGCGAAGAGGTTAGGGAACAGAGCCTCCAAGAGTTTCCATTCTGAAACATGTGCATCATGGTTGCTAGGCAAATGGAAAATTGTGGTGAACATTCCAAGCTATTAGGATAGAACACTGGACCATCAGGCTTGGGGATGCTGTGGTTGATCTGTCTTACGGTCTGGATAGCAGAGGCTTCCCATGTTCTAGCTCGGAGATTTTCTTAGGGCAGGTGAGTGAGAAAAACCGCTGTGTGCACAGTTTTCTGGAGAAAGCCCAGAACAATTTTGCCTTGTAGTTCTCTGATTGCGAGAACCCGTTGGTTCTGAGCTAAGGCTTCTCCAGGCAGTGGGGCTGGCTGTTCTGGGGTAATAATTTGGACGCAGCATCAAATAAAGCAATCAAAAAGAAAATTCCTTGGAAACTCTCACTGGTATTTAATATTTTATTCATTCCCATGTTACTGTGCTTCGCCTGCGGTAAAACAGCCTCAGAACAGCCTCCTAGGAGCGAGGCGTTAGGAGGCTGACAAGCTTTTTCCCATGAATTGCTGCTACAACACAATGGCATTTTGTTTGCTGTTTTGTTTCCTTGTCTTCTAACATTCTTTCTGACTTTCAAGGAAAAAAAGGAGAAGAAAAAGAAATCCTCCTATGAATGGCAAAGAAAGGGAAAGAAAAGTTTCTTTTAAACTTGCAACCTTTTTCATTTGGTTCTGGGGAGCTTGTAAACATTTTTTTTTTTTTTCTCATGGTATATGCTGGTAGCTCTTTTTTCTTTTTTGGACTTTAAATAGCTTTTTTCCCCCCTCTTTTAGTACAAAGCGTTGTCTTTCTGTTATTGATTCAGAAAATTGGCAGGGGGAAAAAAAAAAAACCAAGCGTGTACGCATCGTAAGAAAGAGCAGTCGGAGGAAGATGGATCAAATCATCCATCTATCCGTGCGGCCATTTATCTATCAATCCATCTTACTACCCACCCCGTCTATTAAAATAAATAGCAGGCAGTGTACACATTGCTGGTTGGCTGGAGTTGTGATCCGGACAAAAGATCTGTTTGGGAAAAGGGTGCTGAAGCTCTAATTCTATTTGTGCCGGTTGAAAATCAGGAGGGGTTTTTCTACACTTCACTTTTATTAGATTATTTCTTATAGATGGTTTCTTTTTTCCTCCCAGACGCGTGGTGGAGGCCGCTGAAGCAGTTGGTCTATAGTTGAATAATTAAATTAACCATTTGGTACAACTTTTTAGGGGAGAGCTCGCGTGTAGAAAGCACAACGGGAACAAAACAGGACGCTGGAGATGGGGCTGGGGCTGGGGCTCTGGCCTGGCCCAGCCTGGCTCGCCTTTCATCTCCGGGCAGAGGCAGGACCCCGGGCCACAAAAGACAGGCAGGGGACGAAGGGCCAGCGGTGGGAGGAGCGACGGTGACACCGAACAAAATAAACCTACAAGGCTTACAGAGGGGAAAATGAAGTCGAGCGCATTTGCTCATCCGACCGTGCGCTCCGGCGTGGACGGGTGTCCCAGTACAAAGGCCAGGGGGCGCGGCACCCCGACCCGGTGACACCCGGCACCAGGGGGCGCCTGGAGAGACACCCGGGGACGGGAGCACCCGAGTGCTCGCTAGCCGGGCGGGAAGGAGGCAGCGGGGAGCTCGGGGACTGCAGGGCAGGCGACCAGCGCTGGCCTGGGTGCCTCCCGCCCTCGGCATGTCCCCTAGTCGCCCTCAGACGCCTCGTCTACACCCGCCTTCCCTGAGCTGCGCACTGAATTCCCCACCCCATCCCCTTCCGCAGAGGCCCCGCCTCCGTGCACCGGCTACGGAGTAGTGTTTGCAGGTTCACACGAGCCACTCTCCAAAACTGCCGACCCAGAACCTTGCGCACGGTCAGCGCTTGTCCCACCTCGGCGCCGAAGGCTTCCGGGGCCTGGGGACTGTCCGCGAGTGAGGACCCGCGGAGAACTACCCTGCTGTCGGGTCGGTGCAGCGCCAGGTGCCGGAGCTCCCGGCCGTGAGCTCGCGGACCCAGCGGGGACGCACCCGGGGCACCCAGACGCGGCGCCCAGGCGTGCGGGCCTGCTGTGGCCACGCGCAGGCCTTGGAGCCTAACAGCTCTTCCGGCCACTCCATGTCGT